AGTAAACTGGGAGCTTTACGATACTTTTGGCTCTTTAAGTCAGTAGTTTGTTTGACTGAATAGTAGCAAACATTCAATTATCTCAAACTGCAACAAAATCTTGTATTTCTAATAATTTCTAATATATAGTATAGGGCAGGCATTGAATACATGCTTATAAGAGCTCTGCACAAAATGGCTCCTTTAAGAAATGCCTTCAATGTGACCTGGAGGTGTAAAAAACACATTTTCAATTAATAAAGATATGAGATGAGAAAAAACAAAACTATACAAATACAATTGTTATTTCACAGCAGCACCTGCTTTTCCTCACACATTGTCTAAGTAAGATTGAGGACTGCATCTGAATTTGAAATAGGTCCCATGAAATGTTTGTGTAATTTAGAAGCTCTATGCATGAGTATATTGCTTTGTTTATGTGTGAATACAAGGATTGCTAGGTAGGTATAAGATAGGTCACTATAGTTTATAACCTCTGTACTGTTCAGACAGGGGGGCGATGGATGAGCTGGTGTTCCTCATCCGATGGTAGGGTTCACTTTGGGTTCCTGAATGGGCTGGTACAAAATATGAGCATGAATTTAACTTTTTCTTGGCATCTTGCCTCAGCGAGGTGCTAAAAGAGCACAGGAAACTGATGTGATACACCAACAGGAAGCTCATAACAGAAAGGTGCAAGAGTCTAACCAGCACATCCTTCCTCTGCTACATCAAAACATCCCAGCACAGAAAACAAGAGTAATATTAGTTTGTGGGTTTATATATGACTCGGCAGTTAATATATTTTGTAATCTATGAGTTTTTACAGAAAGCTATCACTGTGAAAAATGCCTATAATATTTTTTCGATATGATTAATTTTTGAATATAGACAATCTCCTAAAATGTGTTAAGAAACCTCAATGACCAATGGGTTGCTTTTCTACAAAACATTGAAGATGAAACCATCCTTACTCTGACTGTGAAGTGGGTTTCAGGTTCATATTTTTTTATATGCCCCTGTATTCAACATTAACATCAGAACATGGTGTGATGTTAACTCACTTGCTTGCCAACCATGCCGTGTGACAAAAAGCTTTAGACACATTTCAGCTGTTTACAGAACGAAAATATGTTTAGAAAAAAATAACAAGAAGAAAATAGAACTATCGCCCATGGTCGAAAAAACTATTTTTTATTACATAGCCACACTAATAATACTGTCTGAACTTATGTTAGGGCTGTGCCAAAGTTTAATTGCATTACTGACTAATAATACAGCTTGGAAATCATACAACAGCCAAAAAATGCAGAAAACTGATGACTAACCTTGAGTCAGAAACCCAAAATACACAGGGTTAATAGCAGAGTGTCTCTGCACAAACATTATCTGAAGTGAAATACAAATTAGACCAGTCAGGTGCAAAACAACACTTCTGTGACTCACTGTCCAAAAACTGTACTTAAAAAAAAAGTGTGAATGTTGGATCTGCATGAAACAATCTTCTTCCATTCCTTAAGTGGCTCACCTTAATGTGAATCATTTAATTAGACAATTAAGTGTAATAAGCCAGGCTGCCGTTGTGTGTCCCTTAAGAAGGCATGTTGTTCAGTTCAAACTGGGATGAAAGTGGTACATGTAGAAGTCCAGTTCTAGCCATCCCTCCGGTTCTCTTCCTGAGAGGCGTTCTTGTGTCAGGACTGTTGAACGGCCTCCTCCATCTCTGCGTCTGCTGGAGCTGCGTTCTCCTGCTCCGGGTCGCCAGGTAAGACGTCTGCGACCGTGTGGATGAGCTCCTCGATCTGCTCCTCTGATAACCGCTCCTCACTCTCTTCCACCATCTGAACACAAACAGAAAGTTAAGTGTTTGATATTACACATTTTCAAAGGCTATGTAACCCTTAACTTCAGCTGATTTGATTTGTGTCTATATTGGGCTGTTTTAAATGATTTTCATAACCTCAAGTAAAAACATTATTTTAAACACATATTTTTTTCAGCAGATAAGGTTTTTTAGTTGTCATGGAGTGGTAGAAATGGACAAGAAGTGCTGTTCACATATTCGTGGTCATGACAATGTTTTTGATTTTTTACGAGCAATACTTGTTAGTAAGATCAGTTTATTGTCAGTTTGGGAATTTCGTGAGATGTGTTGACAATAAGAAATACATGGAATATCACCACACTCATCCTTTAAGTGTGATTTAATGACACCCTGCCTTGTTTCTACAACACTAAATGTGTAAGAATCATGGAAATGGACACCAGAGTGAAAAAAAGATAGAGGATGGTAGAGCAACATGTAATATTAATTGGTGAGAATGAAGTTAAACACTCACTAGCTGAATTTCCACCGCCGTCTGTGGTCGTTGGTTCAATAGCTGCAGCTTTTCTGCCCTGATTTGGGAAAATGTCAGTGAGTATATAGTGTTCTGAACAGTTCATACATACAGTACATTATGTGTTTATATAGGTTACATTTTAACTGAATCTTATAAATCGTGCATCTTTCAGATCTCACTGACTTGGTGAGTTTGTGGGGCTTCATGGTGGTGAGGAACTCTTTGACGATCTCTGGATTCTGCCTGCTGCAGGGCGTCTTTGACAGGTACTTCAGCGTCTGTGTGCACATTTAGAGGAAACTGTCGGCATGCTGTTTCAAAAGTGTGAAAGTGAAACATCAAGCAGGTTTAAGTGAGTTGAGAGAAGTTCAAGATGTGTGCCGACCTCATACATGATGGTGTTGAGGTTCTGCTGCCCAGCACTGTTTTTGTTCTTCACGGTGTCTTTCCTCTTTTCCTTCAGGTCTGTCAGGAGTTTGAACACCTACAAAAATGCACAGATTGACAAATCTGAAGCGATACTCAATTATTTTATTTTGTTGAAAGTAAACAGGAAAAATATTTAAAACTTATCAAAAGTGAGACATAATACATTACCTCATAATTACTGAGCATAGCAGCGTTAGCGTTTTTACTGAAAAAAATAAAAAGTCATGTTAAATTAAAGAGGTTTATTTTGTACCTTTGTGAAACTTTTACATAAAAGAATAATCTAAGCTTTAAGGTTTTTGGAGATTTAAAACAGATCTCAGTCTTCACCTCGTCACTAAATTGAGAAAGTGAGCTGTGACAGAAAGCTCCGAAAGTTGGATGGTAGACTTTGAGCTCAGATCATTCTGGTAAACATTAGAAAACTAATGAAGGTTAAATAAACAGGGAGTTGGGACACACACGGCACAAATAAAGAAGGCAAGGTGCACTTACAAAATGTGATAGCTTGTTTAGTTTTATTAAACAAATTGGTGGGGCTATTTAATAGAGTACATTTGGTGGTAAGGCATACATACTTGAATGTTCATAATCATTATTTTCATTATCAATTTTAATTATTCAACTTTCTTTAATTCAGTAGTTAATTGTTAAGATTTTTAAATGTTAGAACAACTACTCATTACAATTTCCGAAAGGGGACAAAGTGGCATCCAATGAAGTGTACAACACCTTGAATCTTTTTTAAATTTGTGTGACAACAATTGACTCCTGAATTTACTTCTGTGCTTTCTCACATTGGCCACAATACCTTACTTAGATGTGTGTATTCAGTCCTTTCAATGAAAGCAAAATAATAAACCCATCCAAGTTGTACAGCACTTTTTAACCAAGTGAAAATTATGGATTATTTAAAACCTTAATTTAACGTATATTGTATATAATTAAACCACACGATTGCTCTGGTGTTGCCTGAATCAGATTGTAACGTTACTAATGTTTTAGCTTATTTATTCACTTTAAGAGATTATATAACTGTATTGTTATTTTAAAGTAAACAATCTCCTGTTTTTATATTGACATAAGAGTGGCTTGAAAATATGTTCACAGTTCACTCTTTCCTTCAGCTCGATCAATAAATCAACCGGAAACTGAGACAAAGACTTCGCTGTTGTTCCTTAAACTCGGCTTCTGTTGAAATAAGCAATACATAGCTGGCAATCCGCAAAACACACTGTTAAATAAATGGCTTTTAAATAAATAAAAACATTCTTACACTTCCATTTTGCCAGGCACTCAGCGTTGGTCCGTTTAAAAAAAGCGTCCGTGTAGAAACTGTTATCCAGGTCAAACGTTCCGCACAGCATCAAGCTGGCTTTAGTGTTGCACATTTTTTCTTAAATATACCAAAGAATAATTGAAAAGAAAAATAATAAACGTCATATTTGTAGAAGCCCTCTGTTACCTTGCTTTGGCATTTACTTAGTTGTACTTATTCCCATTCTTTGGCTACATTATTAAAGATAACATTACATTATACACTCCGCAGGTCTCCCTTGAAAAAGAGATCGTTGATCTCAATGGGATTTTTCACCTGGTTAAATAAAGGCTACAAACAAACACTACTCTGATACATCTCAGGTGTTGTTTATTTACTGTACATCATTTCTTTTTTGAAAGATTTAGTTAGTCTGCAAAGTCAGAATACAAATACAAAAACATCTATAATGAACTGACATTATGATGTATTTAATTAATTAAGCTCCAATATCTCCAATACAAGTGTGTCCTGTGCTGCTTTCTCATTGTAATACAGGATGTGTGATAAGAAAAATGTGGGTTATCCTTTAATACAGACTCTAATGAAGACATGGCCAACTTTGTGGGAGTAAACGGATATCCAAATGTAAAATAAAGCAAACATTTATCAAAATATATCCCTCCGATATATCCAGAAGCACAAACCAACAGGATTTATGGAGGAAGAGAGACCAACAGTTTTGTCCATCAAATGCAAAAAAGGGTTGAATAATAAATCTTTGATGCAAAAAATAGATCCTTTAATTTAGGACAGTCATTCACAAAAAAAACCCAGATTTGTAATAATACTCTTAATGGAACTGTACCTCAAATGAAGAAATCATGTCGTTAGTATAAGCTATATTTATCATGTCATACAAGCAAAGAATAAATAAAAAAACAATCAAAATCAAAATGTAAATGGTATCACTTTATTGAATATAAAACAAATCATCATTATTCATCTTCTCGATCATTATTCATGTATTAAAAAACATTTTTTTTAATGTTTACAATACAATTTTCAATATTGTACTAAATATTTTAAAAATGTTAGACATTACAAATAAACGAGATTTAATGAACATTCAAAATGTAATATTTTCTTTAAAAAACCCTAAAGACATAAAAAGGTAAAAAGTAGATCTTTGAGGCTGAAAACAATATTTGATTTTTTAAACAATCTGATTGATCATTTATTTTAAACATTTCTGAATGGTGACCAACTGAACGTTTAAATCAGTGCTCTCTGGTGGACAAACTAAGCAATGTTTTTAAACACTGTTTTTTCCTAGAAATACTTCATCTTTGGCATTTTTTCTTATTCATTATTAAACTAACTTAAGTGTGCAGTGTGGATGCATTCATAATGATATGGCTGAGCAGTTACACCAGCACAGGTGTGCAACACTCCTAATGATTCATTCCTCAAAACAAGAAATGGGTCTTAATGTCAGAGTGGGGTCCCAACTCAAAACCCTCTACCAACATCCAATGCAGCTCATATTAAGATCAATCCCTTTATGAACATTCAAAATTGCCTCCGATAGTTTATCTCTTTCAATCTGAACAACCCGGCAACCTTCTGCCCCCAAAGAGTATTTAAAACAGATCATCACAACTCAATACACATACTATTAACAGACTGCTTTAAGAATTGCACTCTGTACAAAATATATAGTAAAAATAAAATATCCACAAAAACAAGCGGCGACAACATGTGGTAAAATTGGAGAAACCATATTTACCTTTATTGTTAAAATGATATTTGTGACTTAAAAAGTACTCTAAGGGCACTTAAGATAGCACAAACCTCAGACAAGGCCGTTTCAATAAGTAAAAAATGTGTATATCCCAGTGATTTGTATACACTCCAAATTTCTACGGATTCTTCCACAGCTTAAAGACAAATAAACAATAACACAAAAACATAACCTGCTTGGCGAGGGACTGTATACAGCAAGTTGTTTGAGATCTTTATCCCAATCTCTGCACCCCTTTGTGACAGACAACGATAAGTCTCCTTAAAAAATGAAAACAGATACTTTTTTTTGCACACAACTTGAACCGTTTGCACTGAATCATTGGTCAGCTGGGTTACTGTCGGTGTCGCTCAATCAATTTCCAGTGTCCATTGGGACAGGTTCATCCATCTGAGAGAAGAACTCAAAGAACTTCTTCAAACCCTCGTCATTACAGATCAGTGGGTCGTTGACTCTGTTTTTAAATGCGATGATATTTCTGCCCTCAACCAGGTTCTTCACATTGCTCATCACCCTTTTCTGATGAGCATGATCACAATCCAGGTATTCCTTCAAAACATCAAACCTGTCTCTTTGCACCATTTGGATAACAATGCGTTCCATAATATCGGACAAAGGATAGCCATACTCTATGACACTCTGGATTTCATCCTTTCCTGCATTGGGGTAGACATACCCGCCTGAATGCATTGCAACAACATTGCAGTGTTCGTCAAAGACAGGAGAGCCAGATGAGCCAAAATAAAAACAGGACTCGTATAGTAGAGTCTTTGGCTGTTGTCTGATATCTTCTTTCACACCATCAAAGAACTGGTCAGTAACCAACTGAATGGGCACTTGACTGTTTGTAAAATCACCCTCTGGGTTTTGTTGTTGATGCCTCTCCACAATCTGATTTAGGCCTTCTCTTGGAACAATCAAGCAATGATCTATCTGTTTCACAGCACCCATAGGATACCCGATGATGCAGATTCCACCCCTTTGGGGAAGGAAACTGAAGTGTTTTAACAGAACATCAGGCAACTCCTGGTCAGCACAGAGCCTCAACAAAGCCCAGTCATTCGTATGCCCTGAAACATCACAACAGCACTCAAAGCCAACAACCTCCTCCTCCACTGCTGCTCCTGGATCCACCTGGCCAAGACTTTCATAAGAGAAGTGGACAGTGACTTCCTCAGTCAGCTGCCTTTCACTCTCATTATAAATGCCCTTAATTACATGGCCATTTGTGAGGACAAACTTGCCAAACAGGAGGAAGCCACTTCCCCCTGATCTACCATTTATTCTCACATGGCAAACCGAATTACTCAGATCCATCAGTTTTTTCATTGTTTTCACTTCGTTGCATGTCTGCACGTTTTTTCCATAATCTACACGGAAGAGTCTCTGGATCCGAGAAAGCTGAGTTTGCTTTTGAGTTTTCTTCCCTTTAACCAAATGTTGGAACTCTACAAGTAGGTGACCCTTCATCTCCTTTGAATTAGGTATCTCACACATGCTTCCTGGTGCCATGTTTCCATTTAGCGTTGGTTTCTGGTTTGGTGTGTTTTCATTCAGGGAGTCATTTGTGGTAGACTGCTTTGGAGGAGCTTGGTCTCCACTGGGATCAGTGATTTGCATGCCATCAAGTTCAAGACTCTCGGGCTGACTTTCTGGTGGATTCTCCTTATTGAGGAGTATGATCTTAAAACGTTTACCATCAAGATCGTCCACCAGGTTGGACATTTCAGTGATTACTTCAGAGCTTGTGTTAGAGAGCACACAGTTCTTTGTGAACACAATATCCAGTAAACGACCATCTCTTCTCAGAGCTTGCTTCACCTTTTCATCTTTGTACGCATAAACAGTAATTTCCGAAATGTTTGTCAGTGTGCGGTTTCTCATGATATTAACCACATCTTTATCTCCCTTAGTCAGTAAATGAAACATCACAAGCTCGCCAGACCGCCGCTTTGTTTTGCGATGAACAGAGCCATTAACCAGTTGCTTGGCATTTTTAGAGGCTTTAACATACTTAACAGTCAGTCGTTCATTGTTCTTAATTAAGCAGCATGGGAAGTGGGAACTGATGGCTTTTCCATCTCTCATAATAACCAGCTCTCTGTTTAGGTTCTTTTTTGAGATGTTTCTAAATTGTGAACTTCTTTTGAGCACGTCCTCAACAGTACCCGCTTTATTGCAGGAGACCGCCGTTGGTTTGTTGTCACCACTCAAGCTCCACTCGAAATGATGGGTTTCATGTGGCTCTGCTCCCTACGAGTGAAACACAATGATTACTCATTTGATTTAATAACAATTACATTATTACAGGCACATGCTGATAATATATATACAAAAAACTGTTGTTACAAAGCATCTGTGTGTCAAATGTTGAATTAAAAAGTAAGATGTGTAAAACATGTAAAATAGGTCTCTATGTATACTATCTATAACTCTAATATGCCAACACAGAAACAGAAAGACATATGACAAACCTCTGCAACAGGTTTTAAATCAGGAGGTTGACTGCTTTCCCCGTTTTGGTTGGCTGTCTTCTTGGAAATAATGGACAGAAAGGTTATCAATAGCGTATTAATGTATAAACCTATTATCATGTTCTGCTAATATAAAAGAAACTGTTGTAACAAAGAATCTGTGCATCAAAAGTTAAATAAAAATGTAAGACGTGTGAGACATGAACAATAGATCTCAGTGTTTACTATCTATAACATTAAATGGCAAAAAAAGATATAGAAAAATAATTAGACAAACCTCTACAACAGGTTGTAAATCAGAGGGTTGGCTGCTTCCCACACTTTTGTTGTGTGTCTACATGGAAATAATGGACATCAAAAGTTAAAGTGGACCTATCATGCTATATTTGAATAATATAGTGTAGAACCATACCTATATAAGGCATATTTATACTTTTTTTTTTTCAAAATACCAAACAGATCATGCATTTTAGCCATGCCTCATTTTGCTCAATTTGAAAAATGTTAGCTCTGTTTTTGCAAGGGTTGATTCTGTGAGCAACAGCACCATCTAGAGGCCTGGCATATGTACTACAACGTCTCCAGCGCTTTCGAACGGCAATGCCGTGGTTGTCTCCTCCTGATTGGTGGAGTTGGCCCAATAGCCGTAGCGCCACTTTCCTGACGTCAGGACAGTGTTCAAATCTGGATCAGTTTTTATCAGATCCATTGCAGCCCCTTTTTTAGAGATTTGGGTATGGAGGGAAATAGAGAGGGTTGTGTTTTCTGACACTTGGTGAGTTCCCTGGAACACCGGGGACACATATTCATGTATAAAAGACGTACAAAAGTGCATTTTGCATGATAGGTCACCTTTAAATCAAAATGTAAGTCGTGAGCAATAGATTCCTGTGTATACTATCTATATAATAGATAGTATAGATTCTATAAAAACTTTAAAATACCATCAAAAATACTGAATACAATATGACCAACCTCTGCAACAGGTTGTAAATCAGAGGGTTGAATGTTTCCCCCATTCTGGTTGTCTGTCTTCATGGAGATAATGGATAGGAATTGTATTAATGTGTGTATTAGGGAATAAACATATTATTACATGATGATAATAAATAAACAGTTGTTTCAAAGAATTTCGGTTTCAAACGATAAATTTAAATGCAAGACGAATGAGACATGTACAATAGAGCTCTGTATTTACTATCTATAACTTTAAAATGGCAAAAACGATATAGAAAGAAATAAGACAAACCTCTGCAACAGGTTGTAAATTAGGAGGTAGACTGCGTCTCCCATTCTGGTTGTCTGTCTTTATTGAGATAATGGACAAAAATGTTATTAGTAGCATGTTCTAAGGGATAAACCTATTATCATGGGTTGCTCATATCAAATGTTACAAAGAATTTGGGTGTCAAAGGTTGAATTAAAATGCAAGACATGTGAGACAAGAACAATAGTTCTCTATACTATGTATATGACTTTTAAAGGCCAACAAAGATACAGAATAAAATATGACAAACCTCTGCAACAGGTTGTAAATCGGAAGGCTCGCTGCGTCTCCCATTCTGGTTTTCTGTTTTTTTCTGGAGATCACAGACAGAAAAGTTATTCATTGTAAAGTATTAAGTGTTGTATACTTCACAAGAGATCTCTCCCGCTTCTACAAATTATGTTTGTTTGTCGGTTTCGTTAATTCTCTGTACTAATATTGAATTAGTAGAATAAAGAATTTTTTTAAAGAAAAGACACAAAGCTAAATGAAACTTAGTAACCCATATAAATCAGTAATCTAACATCTCAAAATCCTGTATTCAAATGTTTATGATTATAAAGAAATATCATATATATTATAAAGAAAATAATGTACATTTTAATTAACAGGAGAAAATTGGTACCGTTAAAAATCCGTCCATTGGTCCCACTCCCTTTTTTGCCGGCTTCAACTTCTTCGGACCCATTTTGTAATGTGTCGAGCACAAATGTAACAATGGCAAATATAAGGTGATCTTCTTTCTTTAGGAAAAGTCATATACATTGTATTAATGCAAATTACTTACAGTACACATGAGGTCAATTTAGTGTACTCATATTAACATTAACAGTTTATTGTGATCTAATTCAATAAAAGCACAACAACAAAGAGGCCAAATTTAAGGTGTCCATAGCCTTCGTCATGCACATGGGGTGTATAATATCACAAGCAAACAATACTACAGTTTGTCAGTACTGTGTTGAATTCAATCAACATCATTACATTACATTATACTTGTTAGACGCTTTTATCCAAAGCGACTTACATACTCAATACTGTGGGCAATCCCCACAGGAGCAATTTGGGTCTTGCCCAGGGACACAATGACATGCTGACTGCAGTGGGGTTTGAACCTATGACCATCTGATCCCCATACCAAGGCTCTATCCACTGCGCCACACGCCTCCTTAACATCAATGTCATCAATGTCTGTGTAGAATATTGAGCAGTGTGGTGATTGACATAATTCACCACGGAACTGTGGGTTGGGGGTATTGTTCCGCACGGACATATATGTTGACTGTACTTACTGTGTGCCCTCCTTTCCTGTCTTCCTGGGCTTCAAGCCGACTGTCACTACCCGATCTGCCGCCCTGCCCTATCTGCAGTGCGCATGTGCGAGATGGTCCGCCATATTGCACAACTCCGTACAGCAACCCAACTAGGACACTTGACACAGTGGCGTTTGGCAAAGCACACAAAGAAAACTCCAAGAAAACCGAGAGAGATGAGTTATTGTTATTACAACGTGACTTCACTATTATTTAACAACTCTTTTTCTTGGGTTCTTTTATTTGGGGTTAAGTACATTGTCAGAATAAGTGAGAAATTGATTGAACTTCTGTTAGACAGCTATCATACTGAATAAATATTTACTGTGAATGTATGCAAAAATGTATGGCATATAGCTGTCTAACAGAAGATAAAAATCAATTTCTCACTAATTCTGACAATGTGCTTAACCCCAAATAAAAGAACCCAATAAAAAGAGTTGTTAAATAATAATGAGGTCACGTTGTAATAACAATAACTCATCGCTCTCGGTTTTTGGAGTTTTCTTTGTGTGCTTTGGCAAACGCCACTGTGTCAAGTGTCCTAGTTGGGTTGCCGTACGGAGTTGTCCAATATGGCGGACCATCTCGCACATGCGCACTGCAGATAGGGCAGGGCGGCAGATCGGTAGTGACACCGACAACATGTGTGTTTCTAATGCTCAATAAAGCTAACTTTGTACCTTCGATACACCGCCTCCGACTCCCGTCTCTCGGCACTACAGCAGACACATTGTTTCTGCATTTCCATATTGTTTCTACATTTCCTATATAATTCATGATATGGGCTAGTCCAGAGGTGTAACAAGTACTCAGATCTGTAAAAGTAGCAATACTACAGTGTAAAAATACTATGTTACAAGTAACAGTTCTGCATTCAAATGTGTACCCAAGTAAAGTACAAAAGCATTGGCATCAAAATATACTTCAAGCACAAAAAGTACACATTTTCCAGTATGGCCCATATCAAGTTTTTTTTGTTTTTTTAATTTAAATTATGTCTTATACATCTATCCTAGTAGCTAGTAGTAACTACTAGAAGTAGAAGTACCTCAAATGTGTAAATACCGTAAGTAGCCTACAGTATGTGAGTAAATTGTACTTAAGTTGCATTCCACAGCTAGGCTAGCCTGGCTATGCCAGTCAACACTGCGACAAGTTTAGTAATGTTTGCTTACAAGACTCAATAAGGACCATACCTGCTTTTGCTTTCTCTTCTTTAGTTGTTACAGAGCGCTTAAAAGGTTTTTATAATTGAACTTACCAAAACCCCAAACAAACAGCTACTCAGACTCAGCATAGGTCAATGTTTTCCGGAGAGATTGTGGTGTGTCTTCCTCTCCTTTTCCCGCACGTCTTGAATTTGTACTTGCCGCCAAAATTGTTGTGGTGACGTCACTAAAGGGGCGTAACGGTGGGCGAGAGAAACAGGACTTTTTTAGGACCGTGAGTCTTTTTCCAAATCCTGATAATTTGTCTTTCCATCACCCAATTACGTTTTTCATTGAGGTAAAGGAACAGTAATACAATCAAATTGACAATTCCGCCGCAACAGGGTTCTCCCCTCTTCTTTGAGCGAGCAAAAGTGAACTAACTTTTTTTCATAACTTTATTGAGACATGTGTGAAATCAAATGCTTTTTTGGCATGTACACAAAATGTACGGCAGTAATGCTTTGGCAATGAAGATCTTCAGTCCCAGGCTACTCCAACACTGCAACATAAATATAATTAAGACATCAAGTATTACATTAAATTAAAAAAGTGCAAGATGAAACAGAAATGGAAATAAAATAGTGCAAGTTAGTGCAGAAATAACTAAAGTAGGCTACATGTCAAATAGTATGTGATTTGTTTTGTCTGTGGCCTACATTCAGATGTAGTCTTGTTTTCATAGGGTGAAGATATGATCAAGGATAAACACTTACAAATATCTCATTTGGTTTGTATGTCCACAAGACCGAAATAAAGACTCCACAAAAGGTAAAACGTACATCTATGTCATTCTTGTTTTTTCCTTATTTGTGTTCTTATGATGCCATGATAGATAGTTTCCCAACAATTAAGAGGCATCACTTCGACACTTCCCCATACCAGTTTTTGTCACCCAACTTGATCAAATACAGACAACAAAAATGACATATGAACAATTGCAAATAATAAACAAGGAAAACAAGTGCCAGGGAATTCGGTAATGACAAAAACAAATGTGAATCATTCAGTAATTGTATTGTGCAGGAAGCTTTTTACATTCAATAAAAGTAAAATACATATGATGAGAAAACAAGCCAATGGATTATATGATTCATAATTCAATAATTTGATAAAAGCCATGTCATTATTATAGAAATAGTTTTCTTAACTTTAAACGGATGACGTAATATGAGAAGCAGCGTGGAACGTCTTCGGTGACGTCTTTTAAAGAGATACACACACCTTTAGAGGGAAACTGCCTCGCTGTAGCCTCACGTCTAGAAGCTACGTTATTATTGGGTTGTAGTTGGCATTCAACTTCCCCTCTGCCGAAATATTGTTTCACCGGACAAAACCGCTACAGACTGCGACCGGCGAAAAACATGGCCAGCACAGAGGTAAGGTAAAGCTTGAGGCATCTCGACCACCGGCATACATGTGTTTTTGTTGTTTTAACACCCAGCTGGAGCTAAAGCAAGCCGTCAAACTAGGACCACCATTGTATACAGACACATGTAACGGCGAATATTGTATTGTTTCTACCAACTGTGTTCCATCTAACATTTAGCTAAAGCCAGTAATGCTCCCTGTCTGTGCCGCTTGTCAGGGAAATAAACTTTGGGGAGGTCGCTTCGTGGGAGACACTGATCCTATCATGGAGAGGTTCAATGCATCCATCGCTTATGACAAGAGGATGTGGGATGCTGACATCCGAGGGAGCAAGGCTTATGTGAAAGCTCTGGAGAAGACAAAGCTGGTCACCACAGATGAGATGAATCAGATTTCACAAGGACTGGATCAGGTGAACACACACACAAACGGAGAGATTAATACATGGGAAATAAACTGACTTTAAGTTCACCACATGATAAGCCTAACACTGTGCAGCGAATAGTCTGTGTGATACTTCACTTTCTGACTACAATGCTCTCACTTGTCTTGGGAATACACTCATGTTGCATAATGGGTATGTTTGTCTTCCCTGTCCTACACTGTTTATGTAGGTTAATAGATGACAGCTGAAAATGTGCCATGGGGCAGAATTCCTCTCTGTATTATGCTGAGTTTGTGCTGGACAATACTATCATCATGTGACAGATGTAAGCTGCCTAACAGCCTCAGTTTAACAGTCAGCTCAGGTTTTAGGCGGCCTTCTTTACCCTGGTGTTATGCTTTGGCAACGCAATTGAAATTAAGCAACTAACACAAAACACAAACAAACATAATGTTGATGTAAAATGTAATTTAAGTGGTTTGTGCTGCCTCTAACTCAGTAGGTCCATAATGCATTTAAAAGCTCTCCATGTCTTTGTTAAACGCAGAGAAGAACTCTTTAATTGCACAGCATAGGTTTAACTTATTTAGTGATATCATCTTTTTTGGATTCTCCAGATTTCAGAAGAGTGGTCCAAAAGTGCTTTTGTGATCAAACCTGGAGACGAAGACATTCACACTGCCAATGAGCGCAGGCTAAAGGTGAGATAAGGCTTATGAGTTTCACATAAATCAGCAGAAGTGAGTCAAAACGGTATTTAACATAATAATGATTCCTTTAGGGTTATTAACATACTCTGTCTGTCATCCTTGGTAGATTGGTGTTGCCTGTGATGAGTATTTATTTATTTTAGTCCTTTTACTGCCTGTTATTTTTTCAGGAGCTGATTGGTGCACCTGCAGGGAAGCTGCACACAGGCAGGAGCAGAAACGACCAGGTTTGTTTTTACACTAAAATTATTGTTTGCAGCCTATGTTTTACTTTTCTGTAATAACTAGCTGATATCAGTAGACCGTGCTGCGTGTGTTTGTGTCATCCAGGTTGTGACGGACATGAGGCTTTGGCTGCGAGATGCCATCACCACCCTGACAGACAATGCCCTACAGCTGATGTCCACCATGGTGGAGCGGGCGGCAGCGTGAGATAGAAACACATTTACACAAACAACAAATACACTTTTCCCTGTTCTTTTCAAAAGTTGTGTCTGTCTACTGTCACCTTTCAGAGAAATTGACGTCCTGTTTCCCGGTTACACTCACATGCAGAGAGCTCAGCCAATCAGATGGAGCCACTGGATTCTAAGGTGACCTTTTTAATAAAGTGAACTTTTATTTCAGATGATCTTTTGTTAACGACAGTGACGTTTGTTTCTTTGCCCTCAGTCATGCTGTTGCTCTGAGCAGAGATGTGGACCGACTTCAGGAGATCAAGAAAAGGGTTAATGTCCTACCTCTTGGCAGGTATGCTTTGAACACAAACTCACGGTCTGAAACTGACTTTCTCCCATTGATCTGATAATTTAATAACAAGGATTCTTGTTGTTTTGCAGTGGTGCCATTGCTGGAACACCATTTGACATCGACAGGGAGCTACTGCGGAAAGGTCGGGCCAAAACATGTCAAGATTATCCTCTCAAAAGAGTTTGAGAGCACATTTGTGGCAGCCATCTTTCACCTGTGTGTGGTTTATTTATAAAAATTAGATTTTTATTAAGTTAAACTATACAATTTCTCCTCATGTGTAGAGTTGGAGTTTGATGGAATCAGTATTAACAGCATGGACGCCACAGGCCAAAGGGACTTTGTCGGTACGTAAAACCTTACATGTCTTTCAAGTCATTTGAAACATAAACATACAAAAAAAGATAATTGTTCTGTGTTCTCTACGTTTCTTCATGTAATGCCTCTGTGTCTGTTTCTTTAGCGGAGTTCTTATTTTGGGCCTCATTGTGTTTGACCCATCTGAGTAAGATGGCCGAGGACCTGATGCTGTACAGCACAAAAGAGTTCTCCTTCATCTCGCTCTCTGACGCCTACAGGTCGGTTTGTATTTTATAACATGGTCCTAAAATACAGTTTGCACATGATCTTAAGACTACACACATTTGGATCAACTTGTGACAAGTGAGGCATTTTGTATTGTTTGTACAAAGCTCCACATGTGCATTACTCCAATTCAATATAGTAAATGATATTTGAAAATGTCCGGGTGAATTTATAATAGTTAGTCAGTAAACAAAAGCTCCCATACGTTTAAGGGCTACTGTGAACAAATAATGTTATTCACTGAATGATGTCAAAGTGAAATGAAAACGTTTCGTTTTTACTTTCACTTCACTTTTTTCACCTCAACCATCAGCTTTATGAAATCTTAGAGCTGTATTAAGCCCAGCCTTTAATTGTGCATTTAAACCTGCATTTACCTTGTTTCCTTTCTTCTTCTCCCCTATATACTTGCTGATTGTGCAGCACAGGCAGCAGTCTGATGCCCCAGAAGAAGAATGCAGACAGTCTGGAGCTGATCAGGAGTAAAGCAGGTCGTGTCTTTGGCAGCGTAAGACCTCTGACTAAAGATACAATATTGTTCAATTATCTTTGAATCAAAGGACCTTAATTGGCACTTAATATTGTGTCTGGAGAACTCAAACATGTAAAAGCACTGCAAGTAGTGTAATCAAAGACAATTTGTTTCATAGCTTACTATTATTTTTAATAGAAAATGATTGATTAAATGAATGAACTGCATATCTTTCACCATTTCCTAGTAGCTTTATTCTGGAAGAGCAGCGCCCTCATGTGTCATAGAGTTATCACTATTTTTTACTTTAGAATCAAACCTGGCAACCCTCATTGTAAAAGTCGTCAGGTTTTACTAGTTTGTAGCTTTATGTATGATCCTTTATATCTCTCAGAAGCAGAGCAGCACATTCAGGCTTGCTATTTTTGTCAAGTTGTGTTAGTTTGTATGACTCGTTGCTGCTTTCTTGTAAAACTCACGTGTGTACTGTGTGTATTCCAGTGTGCAGGGTTCATGATGACTCTGAAGGGCCTGCCCAGCACCTACAACAAAGACCTGCAGGTATGAAAGTGTGTCTTTTGTGTGCTTTCACTTCATTGGAAGGACTTTTTCTGTGTAATTTACACCTAGCTTTTTTGTCATGCTGTCTTTGTCCTTGACATCTTTCTTCAGGAGGATAAGGAGGCCATGTTTGACTGCTATGATACTGTCCACGCTGTGCTGCAAGTGACAACTGGAGTCATGTCAACTCTCAAGGTCAGAGATTAAGTCACTGTTTATTATTTAGAAAAAAAACCACACTGCTCAGTCTCATTGTTGCAAGGAGGTTGTTCATCATTTTCATAACTTTGAAAGGTTGCGACTGCTTGGCTTTATA